TTGTTTTGTTTTGTTTTGTTTTTTGTTTTTGTTTTTGCTTTCTTTCCTTTTTCCGTTTTTAAACGGACTCTGAGGAATAATGGGGGAGGCGGTGCGGAGCTGTCACATGGCGGCCGCGCTCCGCGCGCTGCGGGACCCCGGGAGGCGGTGGCTGTAAAACCCCGCGGGGCTCCGGTGTGCAGCAGTAGCGTCAGACGGCGCTGCGGGAGCGCCTCCGAAGTGCTTTATGGAGGAGAAAGCTGCTGCTGTTCAGACTTCATCGCCTTTTCAAAACGCAACCCCTTAAAGTGTGCTAAACTTCTCTTGAGGAGTCTCTTAGCAGAGTTCCAAAAAGTTTGAGATTAAGTGTGAAATGGCCTCCTCAGTGTTTGGGATTACGGTCACACGTGGTTTTACTCCTTTGATTGGTAACTCAGTACTGTGTGTTAGCGTGTCCTTGATAGACATAACTTTTTTTTTTTTTTTTTTTTTTTTTGCTATGGTGCTGTTCACTGCCACTTTGCTCATGAACCACTCTCAGGAGTGACAACTCTCATTGCTGTTAGTGTTTGTTGTTACTTATTGCCCAAGTTGCACTGCCCTTTACTTCCCACTTAGCATTACATGTTGGTAAATAACTTTATTTCCTCATTTTTAATGACCTGTTGCACTTTGATAAAATGTGAACTTCTCATTTCATAGCTTTTAAGAAAACTTTTTTTTAATTTCCTCAACAGGAAGGAGTGAAGACTGAAAACAATGACCACATTAATCTGAAGGTGGCAGGGCAAGATGGGTCTGTGGTGCAGTTTAAGATTAAGAGGCATACACCACTTAGTAAACTAATGAAAGCCTATTGTGAACGACAGGTATGGATCTTGCCTCAACACACCAGAGGGTTTTCTTGGGGAGAGGGGATCTCCTAAGGGCTGGATGAAAACGATGAAGTCTTAAACTGTGTAAATATACAGAATGATAGGAGCTTAACAGGAGCTAGTTGTGTGGTGAGGGTGTATTGTTCTTAGGATCTGTTCTAGAAAGGACTGAGAGTGGTGACAGGAAATGGGTTAAACGAAGGTGGGTTATCTTTGTGAAATCTGGATTGTAGGTGGGGGCCGTTGCTCTGTGTCTCAAAATTGGTAGAGTGCAAAGGGTGAGTTAGGAACCTGCAGAAAGAACTTAAGGGAGAGTTGGGTGATCAGCATGTGTTATAACACTGTCTTAACTACTGGATTGCTCATAGAATTCTGATTTCTTAGCTTAATGCTTCCTTGTTAAGATGACAGAATGTCAATTAGCGTCTCAAGGTCTAAAAGTGTTTAACATCTACCTTAGGAAGGAGCATAATGATGAGACTTGTTTTTTCCTGATGCCATCTAGTTGTCAATCTGAAAGTCAGACTTTGTTCATACTGCTAATTAGGCATACTCAGTATTAAAATTCTTAAGCAGTGATTCAGGTTTGATTTTACAGAGGTAGAAGCTGTATGTAACAGAATTTAGCATCTTTCAATAATGAAAAGACATACTGCATGTAGTAGATGAAAATGGCAGTGACTGAGCCATGAATTATATGTTTAAAAGATCAAGACTATTTAAGACCACTTTCCCCCTCTTGAAATAATTATTGAAATATACTCTTGGTGAGATTAATATCCACAAAGGTACAGCTTTTTAGTATTTTTTTCAGCTAGCATTTATTAAGCTCAGAAGTCCTCGAGAACCTGCAAAAAAACCCAAAGGTTTCTAAATAGGCAAATGTGTATTTTAGGAAAGGCAAAGTCTGAGAACACAGCTCTGCAGAACCGGTTGCTGTCCTGACACGTAGCCACTTCTTTTCCTAAATAAGATGATGTTTTGAGTGAATGTTGCAGAATCTTAGACACACTAGAAGAATGTATTCACTGTGATCTATGAAGTCTTAACAGAAATTTTGCTCATCATAATATTCTTTAACAAATTTTTCCTTAAAACTTTCCAAAAGTCATCATTAGGCTGTTTCATTCTGTATTACATGTGTTCTTGCATGGCTAAATTGGGGCTCCTTTTCTGAGGGGTGCCAAAGCAGAGCCGTGCAATGCACTGCACTGACTTCAGAGCCCTGTGGGTTTCCTGTATGTTTAGGGAGAGGGGACACAGAAACTTCTCCGCTGGTTTAAGCAGGAATGAGTAGTAATCTTTTGTGGGTTGGAACAGGCCAGCAAAATGAGTGGTGTGTGTGGTAGAGATGCTGGTTCAAAATGCTCTTTAATAATTCTGGTGTTCAGAATATTAACTTCTTTGGAAAGTTCATTTCACCTGTATATGGAGAAACTTTGTTCGTTGGCTTCTTGTTCAAGGTCAAAAAGTTGCCATTGGTCACCCTATGCTACTATCCTATGCTAATAGGCAGCTGTTGCTTTCCTGGGAAAATGTTTTAGGATACCTTTGCTTTTGGGAAAGATTGAAAAAGCTGTTCTTAATGTTACTGTTCAACACTTGTTATTCAAAGTGCTGTATCTACTTTTTTTTTTTTCCCAGTGAATTATTATTACAAAGCATTATAAAAATCTTAGCCTTTGGGGTGACAACTTTATGCTAGAAATTACTGTAACTTTCAGTCAGAGGGTGGACACTGCTGCTTCTCTTAGTAATTGGACACAATACAGTGTTTAATGCAAAACAGATTGCAAGGACTTGTAATGAAATGCTTTGAAATGAGTGCATGAGGGGAGTATGAAAACTGCTTTATGCATCATGAATGATGGCTTTTAGTGACTGTACCACAATTCTAGTAACAAGTTAAAGAGAAAAGTAGTGAGTGGTTTCTACAAAACATAGCTCCTTTTGTGTTGCTTCTCTTTGCCCAGGGGTTGTCGATGAGGCAAATCAGATTCCGGTTCGATGGACAGCCAATTAATGAAACAGACACACCTGCACAGGTAAACAGAAAGCAAAACTAAAGGGCTGTATTTGAAAGTTGCTGCAGAAGTTGTTGCTGATGTTCCGATAGACCTACTTTAGAACTGTTGGAAATGAAATCTGAGACTCCTTGTGTGCTTTGCATAGCAAGCCTGTATCATTGTAGCAATAGAGGTGAAGTACAATGTTAGTAGGTGGTGAATCTTGCAAGACTGCCAGGTTATTCAGTCACAGCTCTGAAATAAGAACCAGTAAGGTAAGAAGTGAGTTTTTCCTGAAGCGGTAACTTCATTTTTTTTATAAAGGTTTTTTATAACGGGTGTTATCAGAGACCCTGCCTGTAAACTTGCATTTTGTAACACAAAAGTCATTTTTTTGCTATTTGTAATTTGAAGCTGTGTTTCAATGGCATAAAAGTAATGAATATCATGGAGTTCAGGTAGTCTATAATGTGATTAAAGCAAAGGCCATTCCAACACCCAGGTGGTTCACTGTCACTTAACTGTTTTTCTGTATTGCTCCACGTAGCTGCATTTAAATAGAATTTTACAGTTTTATATGATTTTTAGAATTACTCATTACAAAATAAGAGACTTATTTTTAGAAGGTTTATGGCAGATTCTCCTGAGAATGTGCTTCTTACAGCCACAATCTATGGAACTTTCAAACTTCAAATGCTGAGAATTGAAGCAACACGGTGCCTTTCTCTCCATCCATGTTATCCTGAAGCTGAGGATCAGTCTCTTTATACCTGCACTGAATGCCATAGACCAGTTTGATTTCTTGGAGCAGAAATTGAGACTGTTTGAAAAAGGTGCTATAACTTACAAGTTGTATTTCTAGTCTTGGTGCAGGTTTTGTCAGTAGGTAACGCATCCAGGAACAGCAACCGCAGACCTTACAGGGCGAGCAAGAATCGCAGTGATGCAGTGTTGCTGCTTCTCACCGGCAGATTGTTGTGTTGTTGACCATATGAAATGTTTTATTTGTTCGCAGTTACTGTCTGTTCTACTGCCTGGTTGGCCTAGGGGCTTTAATTGTAGTATGCTTTCTTTAGTGCTGTAGCCGAAGCCATTTGCACATTTGAACAACAGCAACAAAATGGAATTGTGGCAGTGTTCTAAGGTAAATGGAGGAATTAAACAGGAGAAAGAAGATGCAGTGGCAAAGCAGACAATAAAATGAAAGTATTAGAAACATTGATCTTTTCCATAGGAATTCCACAGTGCGCCCTGAAGTTATGTACAAGCATTAATTGCAGGACAAGTTACCCACTGGCATTTATTTCCACATCGTTTCTTTGCTTTTGAATCATGGTGACGTAGGTTAAATGCACAAAGTGATGATGATGATGGAGGGGAGTGGGACTGGGCTGGATAAGTTGCATAACAAACATGAAGAAAGGAAATGTGAAAACAACCCAGCTTATAGTAGTTGAAAGCTTTTTTTCTCTTTTCTGCTATAGTTGGAAATGGAGGATGAAGATACAATTGATGTGTTCCAGCAACAAACAGGAGGAGTTTACTAAAAAACAAACAAACAAAAAACAAACCACAAAAAAAGAACCTGCTACTTTCCTCTCCAGAACTGTGCTCCCACAGGCAACACGTTCACAATTAGAAAAATAAGACTTGGTTCAGCCACATCCTGACTACTGCAGTATAGTTTTCTCTCTTCTCTCTCTTGATTTTTTTTTTCCTATTCCTTCTATTGTACATAAAGTAACTGGTGTATGTGCACAGACAAAACACATTTTTTTTTTTTAACTAAATGGCCAATGGTATGTTTTGATCAACATTTAATGGAGATGGGGTGGGAAAACAAACTGGTTCTGTGAAAATGCCCCTTTCTCCATTAGTGGCATGCTCCTTCTACTTTTATCTTTATATTCCAGTAAGTTATTTTGCTCTCCTTGTTTAAAAACAAAAACCTTACATACTTTGTTTGATTGGATAATTTCAATGTTTTTCTTTTATCATTGTAAAACCAAGGACAATTTTATAACTTTTTTGTACGTAGCTGTTACATTGTAGAGCAATCTGTCTAAGTAGGGGTAAATTACTCTTTAAAAAAAAAAAATCCTAGATAGTTCTCCCTTCTAGTAAAGCGTCTTGTTGTTTAAATAAACTTCTTGTTTAAAATAACCAGTTTTCTTTTTTTTTTCCTCCCCTGTGGAATAATAGTACTCGGAACTTGTAGCTATTTCTCTGCAGCACTTTATGTTTTTCATTTCTTAATTTTCTGTGTGGTAAGCAAATAAACATACTCCCCAGTTGCAGTGGGAAGACTGTTGAAAAATGAAAGGCTTCCCTGAGAGCTCTCAGCCAGCCAACCAGCAATGGAACTGGAAATAGAAGTCTGCTTTCTCTTATTTTGATTTGTGTGTATGTTCTGCTAAGCCAAAAATGTTTGATTAGGCAAACTGCATAATACTGGACCTACTTGCCTATGGTTTTGGGTTGGGTTCTTTTTGTCAGTCTTTCTTAGAAGCACCGATGTTGTTACAAAAGCATATTTAATACTTTGTGTTTGAATGCCTTTTGATGTAAACGTTAAGTTATAAAGAGACGTTCATTTTGTTAAACATTCAGTTTGCCATGGTATCAAATGGGAGATGCTTGGAAATGTAAAGCAAAAATAAAAAAGTGAGTTTTCTTTTTGGGTGTATTCAGCTATGATGATGAGGATTCCAAGTTTTGGTTTACCATTGCAGTGTTCCTGCCTGAAGGGGAGGAAAGGCTGTGTCTCCTCGGCACGCTGGGAGAGCAACAATGATGCTTTTCATTATTTTTTTCCACAGGGCTGTGGTTCTTCAGTTTTCTTGGGGGAGATGAGAGGTTGCAGTGAAACCTGTGAATGTGAAAGATTATAGAACTGTCTGCTCAGCAGACCCAATGCATTCCCTAATGTCCTAGGAATGTTCAAGTATTTCTGGTAGTTGCGAGTAGTTAATGCCCTCTCAGGTACTGTTAGCAGAGCTTACCTTGTGGTGATAGTTTTTGTAACAGTCAGTTCAAGAAGCAATAGATATGTGCTTGGCCTGAGTCTGCTGGATCAGGACATCCTTTGATTTTGTGCCAAAGTGATGGACTCATGAATTTAGTGCATGGACAATTATTTGTTCAATTTACATCATGATTTTAAGTTATTTAATGTTAAATTAATTGCATGTAAAGTAGACTTAGAAAGATGGTATTTGGTTTTTTGTTTGTTTTTGACTGTGTAGCTGAAGGATTTCACTTCTGTGCCATTGTTGTAACTTTTAGACAAATCTCATGCTAACTGGATAATTTCTTATTCTGGCATGTATCTCGTAGACTTCTGTGGCACATTGCAAGGTCAAAATTGCTATTTTGTGAACGAATGTTTTCATAGAGCTATGAAGGCCTGGAGAAAAAAAAAAAAAAAAAAGCAGGGTGGCTATGTTTCAATGCCTTCCATAGGTTAGACATAGAATGTATTCCTCTCAGACTTTGGAATCTCTGGCTTCCAACCTGGCTAGACAACTGATAGCACCGTATAGAATTCTTTCAATTGGAAGTCATGCCAGGACTTCTCCCAGGTGAAAGTTGTCTTTATTTTGTTTGGCCAAAAAAAGATGTTTGGACTTGTTCTAGTTTCTGAAGAAAGGGTGAGGTCTCCTAAAGTACAGCTTTTTTTTTTTTTTTTTTTTTTTTTTAGCCTGAGTTAAGACTGTGGAGCTCAAAACTCCCTGCCGTATCTTGTCTAGTATCTTTCTTTCCTGAGGCAACAAAAGTCAAGTGACAGCTGTGGAGCAGTATGCTTTCAAAAACAGTGTCTTAATTTCATTAATTCATACAGTGGTACTTCATCTGTCGTTAACTTAGGAGCAGGGCTCTTGTAATATGTTCTGTTGATAAAGCGAGGCCATCTAGAAATGAATTGTGTCTAGCTATAACCAAAATTCTCCTGTACAAAAGTATAAGAAAAACTTTCTTTTGTGGCATTCAATTGATGTGGCAGCCATGGAAATACTCCATCATAAATTGAATTTTCCTTTAGCATTTGGCATCACACTCCTAAAAGAAATGAGGAGGCACTGATCACTTAAATCTATCAGTTCCTAACACTGTTTTGCTATTCATCTGAGATGGCTCCTGACATTTCTAGAATAGTTCCTTGAACAGTACAGCGTGAGGTGTATGTAAGGTGATGAATGCTGACTTTTTCCCCCTCAACTAGTTTTTTAGAATTCTTTTGTGGTTATGCAAATACTTGCCTTGTGACAGAACTTCTTCCTTGTTAGCACTACCCCTGTGTTGCTTAGAGGATTCACCTGTGAGTTGCTGTTTGCTGGGACTTCGGTGATTTTCCTGTGACTTCATCTTCTGTAAAAAGCTATAGCTAAGTTCAGCAGTTCAGAAGTAGTATGAAGTCACAGGGCTATAAACCATCCATTCAGACCGCATTATTGGGAGATTTTCAGATTTTTGATCTGGCTTAATTTCTGATAGATCTTGTGTTTGCTGTAGTAGCCCAAGGAACTGCCAGAAGTGCACATATCAGAAGATAAAGGAAAATTGGCAAAGAGGTCTTGTCACGCTGGTTGACAGGTAAGTTTTTAATGTTTACTAAAAAGCTGCTGCTTTAGGTAATTAACAGTGGTATCAAAACAGATACAACATCTCTGCAAAGGTTACGGTCAAATACAGGTCATTTTCTCAGAGGAATATTTCTTTCCTGGTACCTTTACTTGGTTACTTCTGAATCTGACAATGTAATCCAAGTGCTGTCACTTTGTCTGCTGGATACTGATTCTATTGTGACCCTACTGCAATATTAATGAAAAAGCATAATGTGGCTGGCTCAAAGACATAATGCTTTCTATGCTTTAGCCAGTTGGAAACGATTCAATTTCTAAAGAATAGCAATATATTTTCAAATCTGAAAACAAACAAGCAAAATGCTTCCTTGATCTTTATCTATTAAATTGAAAATGAAAATTAAACAGGAGGGTTTTTAATAGTTTAGATAGTAGCCTCCTCCTTGTGTGCTTTTTATCAGCTTATATAATACACTGTTCTGTATTATAAAAAAAAGGTCTAGAAACATTTAAGTAACTTGAATTATTTTTAATTGTAGTACACCTGTGACCTACTGTACTTCAATCTTTGGATTACTGATGTTGTTCTGGCTGTTAGCTTGTTGCCAAACTGTGTTCTGCTACTACAGCATTCTTCCCTGGTAGTGAAGACGTAGCATGATAGACTGGAGTTTGTTCCCTGTTCTTAGTTTTGGTTGGCCTTCAAGATAATTCATTTCAGACATTTCCCATTTTTTCACTTGTGGCATGGGATTAATTGCTTTAACGCTCTTGAAAAATACAGCATCTGCTTAGAAGGATAAGCTTGAACCTAACCTGTGTGATACCTGCCTTCCATGAACAGACACTATGCATCACTTCAGATGCAAGGCTTGGCCTGCTCAATCCATCTGGAGCAGAAATGGTTAGCTGAAATTTAGTTTGAGTTGTGAGTGAATGGATGGGAGAAGACAAGATTGAGTCAAAACCTCTTTTTGGTACTATGTGCTTGGAGATGGGGGGGAATGTCTTCTGTGACTGTCGTAAGTATCTGAGACTGGCATGAAAAGCCCTTGGTCTTGGAAGGATCATCAAGTTGAGGCTTTTCACAAACCAGCAGTATTTCTCCTTGCCTAGCCTTGATATACATTTTCTGGAGCCTCATTCAGAGTTCCAGTTTTTTTTTTACATTCATTGCAGGATGAGTTTTAGCAACTGATGGAATTGTTTGGTTAAAACAGGAGAATCGCTGGTCAAATCTCATAACCCTGGAGACAAGTATAAGTCCAGTTTCTGTGACAATCTTCGTAACTCCCTTGATCTTGTTATTAGTAAACAATTGGCAAAGCAGCTTTTATTTAAAGCCTAACCTGCATTCAGGGCTGTCTCAGCACTTCAGAGATCGGTGGAGTCTCTTGGAAATACTGAAGTTTTAGAATCTTAAAGCTGTATTTTGAAACTAGCTTTGTCAGAGTAAATGAGTTTCTCCACATTTAAAATAAATAAGAGTATTAATAATAAAATTTATTTCTAAGGGCCATGGGAGTGTTCAGACTTAAGATTCAGATCCTGTGGGTTTGAATAAAAGGCTTTTCAGTGACAAAATATTTCTGAAAGTTCCCAAGAGAGCAGATGCTTCGTGTAGATTAAAACTTGCCTTTAATGTAACTTCAGGAAGGCATGATGGGACAGTATTCCCTGAGGACTTCAATAGCGATGGTATTTGTTTTGTTTTTAACAGGAGTTTCTTATAGATCTTAGCTTAAAAAAGTAAAGTAACACGGTCCTGTTTTTGTAGTTGTAGCAATTCAACTCCTTCCTGAGTAGGCTGATTAAGGCTGATTATTCAATTGATTTCATGTTATACGTGGAGTGAAGCAACACAACCAGAAGTTGCGGTTTCCTGACCAAAAATGAGTATTTTTAAGATTTTAAATCCAAAGTGTTTGGAGAGTATTAAAGACTGTTGTTAGTGCAGATTGGGAGCGACGTCCGGAGCAGACACGGGTGTTCTTTTCCTCTTCCTTAAGCACGTACCATTGAAGTACTAATGAAAGGCACGTTTCCCCGGGCGGTCCCTGTGCGTCCGTTTTGGAGCGAAGCGATCGGCGAGGCCTGCAGCTGTGCGGCCTGGAGATTCCGCGTCACACTGAGGCGGAGCTGCGGTTCCGTGCAGCCGCACGGCTGGGCGCCCCGCTGCTGAGGGGGGACGCTCCGCTCAGCGGACGGCGTCGTGCGCCGCGCCAGCCCGCCCTTCGCAGGCGGCGGCCACGGCCTCGCCGGACGCTCCGGCACCGCGATGGCCGCTACGGCTATTGTTCGAACGTAGATTGGTGCGCTCCGAGGAGCTCTGCGGCTACTGCAGGCCAGGTTCCCTCCCAGCGTGGGCACGGGCGTGAGGGATCCTTTGCAGGGATGGCCAAACGGGTGGTGGGACGGGCGCACACGGCCCGCGGCGCCTGAGGTGAGGAGCGGCCTGCAGAAGGAAGCGGCGCGGTGACTTTTGTGTCGTCTCGCGTGCGGAGAAGCCAATCCCGGCGCACCTTAAGTGAGCGGCGCGTCCTTCCGCCAATCGCTAACGAAAGCCCTCATCGCGCAGGTGCGGTCGGTTGCCGTGGAGCCGACGTATTGCTCGACCAATGAGATTTAGGGGATGAGGCGGGACGCCTCAGAATAGACGGCGAGGCGGGCCGAAGGGTAGAGTGGCAAGGCGTTGTCTAATAGAAACTCGGCGTTGTGTTTGAACCGTCCACTGAGAGGACAGCTAGGGGGGCGGGCCTTACGCGCTGCATAAAAGGTGCGGCAGGGGCGGGGGGGGGGCTGCGTTTGTCACCGGCAGTGGTGAGGGTACGGCGAGGGGGGAGGGAGCTCCGTTCCCAGTACCGTCACTTTTCACCACCGCCTTAACGGAGCCCTTCCCCCGTCTTCTCCATCCTTGCCGCAATGACCACCACAACCATCTTCTCGGGCATGGACCCCAGCGGCAGGAACAGCTCCAGGTCCGGAGGGGAAGAAGGGGCTCCGAGGCCTTCGGGATCGTTAGGGCAGCGCGTGGCGGGGCTGCGGTTCCCCGTCAGCTCAGGCTCTGCAGGCGGCGGGAGGGAGCAGCCGACGGACCCCGGGGCGACGCCGGCCCGGGAGGCACGAGCAGCGGCTGGGTCGGGGCTGGGAACACGCCGGGCCGAGCAGGAGGCGGGGGCGGGCCGCACCCAGCGAGGGCACAGCCGGCCGTTTCGGGGCTCGCCAGGGAGGGGAAGGGACCGAGCCACGCGATGGCTGTGGGTGGGGGGCGAGCCGCGAGGGTGGGAGCTCGCAGGACTCGCCCTGGGCTGCCGCCCGCCTCAGCCGCTTCCTAACAAAGAAGGTAGGCGAATCCTTCGGCCCGGCGCAGCCACGCAGCCGGAGCGCCCCGGGGATCGCCGCTCCGCTCCCCTTCCTCGATGTCTGCCGTCGTCCCCCCTGCCCGCACCGCGCCGAGCGGTCCCGGCGTTTGGGTGGGGCCGAGGCGGCTCTATTGTCTGCTCCGCCGCCCTCCTCGCCCCCCGCCCTACCTGCGCACCGCGCTTTCTCCCCTCGCGCGGGTGACCGCCGCCCGCTCCGCGGTGCCCTCACCGCCATGCGGCGGTGTCCGTTTCATTGATCTCATTGTGTACGACCGCTTTAACGGGCTCACACCCGGCTCGCAGCGAGCATGCTCGAGGGGAGGGGGAGGGAGTGGGGGCGACGCCTTTCCTCGGCTCCGTACCCCCGGGCCTCGAGGCGTCAGGGAGCGCGGGACTCGGCGGGCCCGGACGGAGCTGGAGGCGGACCTGGAGCTCGCGCGGAGCGGCTCTTGGAACAAAGGGAACTTCGGGAAGGTGCCTGGAAGGGTCGCGGTCAGCGCCGCGCTTCTCAATACGGCGCGGCCGTCTTCTCAATACGGCTTTGGCTTGGCGGAACAGTAACTAACAAAAAACGCTTGAAAAGCCCTTCCTAAATATGGGCGGATTCTCAGTGCAGCACGGCGGGTGCCAGGTGTGATGTTAAGAATAGTGCTTTGCTGAGGCACGCTCAAATACCTCAGGACTGGGAGAATCTTCTAATGAACCTTCATCTAGCATTGGCAGAAATGATCACTTAACGGTTTAAGTAATTGCTCTTTTGCTTCAGTTACTTTTTCTGTTAATCTCATTAAGTCTTTGCAAACTGTTACACTGTTAAGAGCAGTGGTTTCGCTGCTGTAGTAGAAGAAAGATGATGTAATGGTAAGTGCAACAAATGTGGCATAAAAAAATGCAGGCACTTCTTCTGTATAAGGAAAAAAAAAATGGCACTGGCAATTCAGGATCATTGTATCATCTCCGTTCAGAAGGGAGAAGCAGCAAATTTTAGGAGTGTTCTTGGATTTCTTAAAACGCATGACCCAATTGGCTGGGGTCTTCCCATTGATTATGTATTTGGAGATGGATTTTGTAATGAAAATCAGGTTAGCAACAGTAAATACCCATTTCAGACATTTTCATTATTTTCTTACTGTGGTCTTGAAGTCCCATAGACTGGGAAAGTGTTTCTGAGTTGCATCTCCAGCGCAGTAGGCACCAAGCCTCAAAAAATCCAAGTGCTGTTTGCAGTGGTGCTGGCGCTGCAGATTCTGACATCGTCTTTGTGTGGAATTCACAGCTTTGGTGTATTCACCATAGAAAACACAGGTTGTTCCATTCTGACTTTTTATAGTTCTAGTGTTTTATTAAACTGTTGGAAGAGGGAACGTGTCCCTTCCCTACCTACATCGACTTCATTTGGGAGCACTGGGTGCATTGGAAACACCATTCTGTTGGTGTACTGAAATGTTTTTAACATCAGCCCGGTAGCCTGCCCCAAATTAATTTTTCTGATTGAAGAAATCTAGACAGAGGCTGCAGTCCAGTCATCAGTGTTGCAAGCAGCACTACGGCTCATGCCAGATTTTACTCTTTGCTGTACCACCAATGTGAAGATTAATTGCCTTCACAGGGTTCTTTAAAAAGAGAAGAGAAGAGCAAAGATAAAAGAGAAGAGCAGTGGAGATAAAATGCCTGGATTGAATTATGGGAAACCATTTAGTTTTATAGTTTGAGTTACGCAGTCAAGACATAACAGTGAGTGTTGGTTATTAAACGCTGTAATACAGACACCTCATGTTTACATTTGGCAGTGCTCAGCCCATGCAGCTACCCGCTACAAGAGCCAGCAGTGCTCTCTTAGCATAGTGGGCTTTCTGTGTATGTTGGGAGTGCTGCTTAGTAATGCAGGCTGTAAGGCTGAATCTCTCTGCAGAGTGCTGCGTCCTCCTGGCGGTGGTTCCAACTTTTCCTTGGGTTTTGATGAACCAAAAGAACAGCCCACACGAAAGAACAAAATGGCATCCAGCATCTTTGGAACTCCTGAAGAAAATCCACCTTCCTGGGCTAAATCGTCGGGTAAGAACACTGCTTTCTTTGCAGGTTTGCTGACATGCATTAATCCATTTTTGGGATTGGCCTGAAGCTGCTGGTGTCTGTGGTTGGAAACTGAAGTTCATTTCTTGCTTTGTAGATCAGGGCTAGAAATTAGCATTACTGACGTGGGATTTATTATTATTTATTTAATATGTAAACATCGGACCTAGGTGTTGTTGCAAGCAGGTAGCTAAGAGAGAGTGTATTTTTGGATGCAATTTCTCCAGATTAATTATGTTAGAGCAGGGCAAACTTGTGACTTAGTATATTATTGTAGTAATTATTGTTCTTGATCAATCAGAGAAAGCTTTGCTTTGTGTTGTACCTGCAGCTGGGATTAAATTTCCATTTCTCTAGATCATTTCCTAAACAGATGGCCCTGGGACCCTGCTATCCATCTAAGCGATGCCCTCAGCTGCACAAAATGCTCTTGTAATTTGTGAGTCATTATGTAAAGAACCAGGACAAACTTTGAATGGTTAAGCTTTAATTCAAAAAAGAAGTAGAGGGAGGAGGAAAAGAAAATAAAACATGCCTCATCACTTTTTCATCTACTTTCCCAGTAAGTTTATCTTGCAACCTAATTAGAATCAATCTCTGCTGCTAGGGACAAAGCCAGGTGAAATCAGAGAAGACATTGAACCATCTGGAGCACAGAGAAACTCAACTGATGCTAACTGTGGAGACGTAGATCCAAAGGTCAGTATGCTTCCTGTAAAGAGCATGGTAATGGGCTACATTGCTCTCTGGCTGCTTTGTCAGTGACATATGCACAGTTGAAAGCCCTGTAGAGTTTGAAACCTTGTTCTTAAATCTGTTCTTACTGTGCAGGTTCCCTTTTCCACGTGATAGTTCTTGCATGTTGTGGAAGGGTTGGATTCTTCTAAATGTGTATTTTCTAGACTCTTAACTTTTCTTTCTTCCTGATGGGACAGCAGTGAAGTGGTGTGAGATCTTGCTTCAGCCTTAAGCATGCAGTTGTGTTTTAACACAAAGGTTAGCTACAGTGAACTCTGAGTTTATTGACTTACGTGGGATTTGGTCTCATACCCAGCACCATGCTTCCCAGTGGCAGGAATGCTTGTTACATTTGTGTTGATGCCTTTAGTAACGCCATCAGATGTGTTTCTTTCCATGTGAGCTGTTTACTTGATAGCGATATGGAGCATGATTCGTAGTGTTACCCTGGCTTTTGCATTATGTACGAATACAGTTAATGGGGAAAACAGGATGAGAAGTCATTTCACTGAAGGTAGGAAAAAAGAAAGGGAAGCCAAGAACGGCTCACACTCGCATAAATAAATTCTGTAGGTGGACAAGAAATGTCTCAAGTTTTAGGTTTCCAGAACAGAACTAGATAGGTAAATTTTTGGCAGATATCTTTTCCCTCATGAGTTGTAAATGACAGGTTTTATTTTGATAGCAGGCATCAATCATCAGTTTAACCCATCTCTGTTGTTAGAAGTGTATTTGAGCCTCAGAATTGTTTGTTAGATAAAACGTCTTGTTCCAAGTTAACAAAAGTGAGATATATAAATTTGTAACTGCTGCCACAGAACACAAAAATAAATGATTTAGTCTTAATTCTATTTTCTGTTTTATTTATTTAAATAAATGTGTTACCATTCTCAGCTTTGCAATCATGATTCTCATAATAGAAAATATTTTAATGTTGTGCAGTGATTAAAACTACAGACAGAAGCTAGAGCTTCTGAGGGGGATTTTTGTGTACTAATATCCTGACAACTGAAAGTTCACTTTGTAGTTATCAACTTTCATAGATTGAATGTTGCTAAAACCTTATGCTATTGTGGAACCCTTGCTGCTGCTAGAGGACTTGCTGTATCTTTGTGTCAAGTTACATTCTGAAGAGGTTGATCATGAAGAGAATGTTTAGCTGTTTATGTAATGAAAGAAATTTTATCATTGTCAGAAACTGGTATCTCAAAAGCTAAATACACCGGATGGAATGAATGTTCTTGGCTTTACTAGCAATTACACGTTAGGTGTTGGAAAGAGTCACTTAGGAAAAAAGAGGAGACACTGATGGCTAATGGCTTAATTTATTGTCATTGCTGCTTGACAGTTCCAGTGTTCTGGTTCCTGTCAGTTATGCCTAATGAGGGGTGCTGTACACAGTAGTGCTCACGGCCACCCGCATCTTTCACAGTGTGGGCATCGCATGTATACTGATGTTACACGTCATTGGGATTACTTCAACTGTATCTTTGTTTAAACTTCTAGAGTTGTGTTACATAACTGACCAGTTGATGAAGTAAAATTGTTCACTGTAGGAATTGGTGCTTACAAATCCATTGTTTTAAATCTCTTGAAACATGCATCGAGAACCATTTGCTCTACTCTGGTATCTGCCTGTGAGAGTGGTGTCAGTCCAGAAGTGCTTCAGTGGGTCTGCCAGAATGTTGCTTGGCAGAGCAGTGTGTCCAGCTGCAATGGCTTGATCAGTCACAGTGTGAGTGCCCTCTCAATGGAAGCCAGGTAAAACTACGTTTTGAACTATAAGTTATAATGTGTTCCTCTCTTTTCTAGGGAGGAGATGGCGGTGGTGAAACATTCGGTGAGTAACTCCTTCAGGCTTGTTGTAAAAACATTTTCTCAAAATAGAAGAAGATGGGAGAAAAAAAAAATCTCAAGAGAGCTTGGTTTGCCGTTTGAACCCATCAGATCATGAAATTACCTAAGTGCTTCATCAGAAATTGCTGGTGGTGATACAGAATGTAATAGCAGAATGCCTCTGTTAGACATCACGTTAAAAACGAGAGCAGTCCTGTTCATTTATTTTGCCAGCAGCAGCAACTGGTATCAAGATCTAAATTTGTAAGGCAAGGTGGATACCATCCAAAGACTTGTGTGATTGATAGATTGTACTACACTGTAGTAGCTTGTAATTAAATAGTACAGTCAACTCCAGAGATTTCAGGTTTTGCTTTTACCTCTGTCTTATTGTCTTCCCACACAGTAAACGCTCAATTCACAGAAATAATCAAGAACAGCTATTGCATCTGAAAGCATCCTCATTTATTAGATTTCAAGTTCCTGATGCTTTTTAAATGCTGATTTTTTTGTAAGGAAGTAATTAATCATAATGCAGATTTCACCTGGCAGAATGTATGTTTATCTTGAGGGCTTTTTATGTAGCTCTGGCGCTGGAAATCTCTCCTTAGCAAGATTTTCGTTGAGAATAGCTGACTTCCTGATGTGAGGAATATGTCTGTTCACCAAGTACTTCTAAGTGTTACTTCTAACACCTTAGAATTGTGGAAGATCTTTAAAGATCTCCATATCCTGAACCGACTTCTGCTGGGAAGGTGAAAAGTTTTCCAGAGTGCCTGCTAACTACCTCTGAATGTTGTATTTCTGGCCAAAAAGCTCTTTGGAGCATCTTGCTCTTCTAGCAGACTGTGATGCAGCATGCTGCTTCTAGTAGAACTATGCAGGCTTGCTCAGTATTTCTTTCTCAAGACTGTCTGCTCTTAACTGGCATCCTAGTGTGCGCACTTAGAGTTCATGCCTCAGGCAGGAGAATGTGGTTTTGATACTTTTTTGAGTCTGCAGGCTCTGCTCTTCTCCTGGTACTTGTTAAAAGCAGCTCACCGTGGTGTCAGGAGGAGTGGTGAGGCAAGAACAGATGAGATTGGAGGCAGCAGAAATAGGACTGCTTGGGTTAGCAACAGCTGTCCGAAACAGAGTGAAAAAATGATATGCTGGCTCTTGGAAGTTGCCATTCTCACAGGTTGAGTGTTTGTGGGCCTTTGGAGTGGTTCCAGAAGGTGACAGGAAAATGTTCTTAGCAAGTGCTGAGTAAATGTATGCTGGAAAGGGGTTTTCCGAACAAGTAAAGTAACAACTTAGCATTCCCAACTGAAGTTTACTGCTGTTGTGGCTATGGCAAAAATTAAATTTTTGAAGACAGTCCTGGCAAAATAAAAATGTCAGCACGTGTTTGGCTGTTAAACTTCTGTTGATGGTACTTCGAAAGGAGTAGAAAGCTAGTGCTCACTGGAAGTGGTGTATATGACAAGTACCTGAGAATCTTGATGTGCTGTTGAATTAATCTCGTCCTTGTTGGCTTTGGGTATTTTACCTTAATGTGGAGTACAGAGTCCTGTTGAGCTAGCCGTGTCACTTCATCGCTTCATACTCCTGCTGTGCGAGATATCAGACATGAGCTGGTGAGCGTCCACTTATCGTGCATGTGACTTTTGCACTTGACATTATATGGCTGTCTCCTGGGCTTTCAAGGGAACGAATGTGCTTCCAAAAAAAGCTATTTGCTTACAAACTCACAGCATAACTATAGTTTTAATAAGCTTCCATCATTACAAGATGTTTCCTCTTCCGGTTTTGGAAATGATTTTCTGTATGTAACTGATTATAAAAACTTAAGGTAAGTGTCCAGAGGGATATGTACTTTCTATTAGTCATGTCTGTCCAGGAGAAGAGAACTTGTGCCTTTTGCAGAAATGTTTTTGCTTCTTGTTTGAACGCTGTAGTTCCTTTTGCACATCAAAAGTTCCAGTAGTTTGCAGCGTACTTGGCAGCAAACTAACTCAGAGATTATACCCTTTCTGATAAGGAAGAACTTCAACATCTGATCTGAGAAGTGCCAGTGTATGTATCGGATGGCTGAAGGAGTCTCTAACAAGCTGTAGAAACTTTCCGGAAGTCTCCTGTGATAGGAGGTTTTTTTAAATTCAGTTAGCACCTTGTACTTGATTAATGGGACTGACTAAAGAGAATTAGACAGCACTTAAGACGGTCACAAGTGACTGTAATTACATTAAGGTGAAATCTGGTGTTCAGTAGAAAGTTTGTCATCATGAGTTCTTGCAGTACTCCAGCAGCCTGCTTGAAGCACAGGCTGCTGTGAATGAAGCACTGGGGGCTGTGTGAATGGTGGCCGTGGCTGCTGTTGTTCCCAGCTTGCTGAATAAGCAGGCAGCAGCATACCTGAGCTGCAGAGGCTTTGAGCTTAAGGCTTTGTATTTAACTGCTTTGTTCTGATGTGCTTGTGGGTTGGTGAAGGCAGCAGAGAATCTGAGGTTGCATGGAAACTATAAGCTGCCAGAGTTCTTGGAGATTATTATAAGCATGGATGTGCAAAGGGTCACAAGTGGGTTTTGTGTTTCTGATAAAATCTTGCATCAAAGGTTTTTTAAAAAGCAATGCTAAGTTGCCACAGCATTGGTGAAAAGCATCTCCTGTAATAAAAAGCTAGATAAAAAACAGCAGGTGAAAGGCAGGATTTAGTAATTGCTGTTGGGGCAGTGGGAAGTGGTGCTGGGATTAGTTTTATTGGGTGCCTTCATCCATGACCTGGAAGAGGTAATGAACAGTTAAGTCTTCGATTTTGCTGGCAATGGCTAAGTTTTGTTAAGTGGTCAAAAGTGCTGATGGTGAGAAAATCTTGCTGTGTTTAGGCCTTTGGCTTGTAACTAATTCTGTTAATCTGCAAAAATGTGAGATGCTAATGATCTCGTGGTCCTCATTAACTGTCAGTGAAGTAGATACATAAATTATTTGCTAGAGTATCTAAAGTGCTTCCTGTGAGTAATTCCTTCTGTGTCCTGTCTTGTGGTTGTTGAGAACTACTTAAAACAGATGGAACTGGCATGTGCTTTCCAGGGAATGTAAATTTGAGCCTGCCCGTACATGGATTTGCATTCCCTGGTCTGCTCTATGCGAAGTCCCAGAGGTGTCAGATATTCTCTCCTCTAACAAAATTGGGAATGTGGTGTGAATCTTAACTCCTGCTTGTAAGTACTGATGCTTCTGTGACTCCATTTCCAGCACTTGCTCAGACTTGAGTTAAAATTATTAGGGTGGTCACAATCTATGTACAAGACTTGATTGTAGCTGCTTGTCAGTTAAAAAATAAAAAAAATTGAATCACTGGGGTCCCCTAATAGCATCTAAGAGAATGCAACTCTTAAATGCCTGAAACTCAACTGAAGGCATCAGGGTTCTGAAAAGTATTTCAGGCAGCTGGAAGTCTGTCTTGCCAACAGATGACAGCAGCTCTGTGTGACTGTAAGGCTGGAGAAAACTCAAAGGAGTTGATCTTCTGCCTAAGCCAGAGAAACCCTCTGGCTTTTATCATCCACATCAAACACCTTAAAAAAGCTTCTTTTTTTCTAGGAAACACTGAGGCTGATGTAGAGGCTGCTCCAGGTCAGAATGAAGAAAAATCCCTGCCTGCTGCACCTGTTCCTAGCCCAGTAGCACCCGCACCTGCACCATCCAGGAGAAATCCACCCGGTGGCAAGTCCAGCCTAGTCCTCGGTTAAACCTTTCCTTTCCTGACTTGAACTTGTGTCTGTTTTTGCCCACCCTTCCCCCCCCATGCTTTTGAACTGCAAAACTTTATTCTTACTGTAAAAAAAAAAATTCTTTTTTTTTACCATTTTTATTTTTTTTTTTTTTTTTTTTTTTTTTTTTTTCAGATCAAGGTTTTTTTTCCACTTTTGTCCTGTGTTTTTCCCCTAGATCTGCTGGAAGTTACATGAGTGTTTTCTAGTGATAGACTTGAGGGAAAGCTTTATGAAGTATAGTAATGTAATTCAAAGGAAAGTAGATAGGTTCTAAGTGTGCTTTAGAGGGTTTTTGTACTGAGATTTTTAGAACCCCTTAGCTGCACAAGGGTCTAAAGTCCTGGTTAAAGCGGCCAGCAAATGATCAGCAAGAGTGGTCCCTTCTTCCACGTGTGAACTTTGGGGATCTAAAAGAATTCATTGTCTGTGTAGGGTGAATGCCTTGAGCCCTGCTGTGCCATTTAAAGTGGTTAGGGTACACCATGCTGCCTTTAAAAAAAACATTGGTACTGGACTAGTGTAAAGCAGGGTATGTGCCAAATAGAGGGCTGATGATCAGAGTCACCTGGCCTGAGGGTAGGAGGGGCTTTGTTTGGACTTTATTCAGCAAAGGTGGAGTGGATTACAGAAATAAATAAAAATTTACAGGGCTTTTTTTTTTTTTTTTTTTTTTTTTTTTTTTTAAATACAACTGACTCAATGCTGTGCATGATCATGCTGGTGCTTGACCATGAGGTGAAAATCTCATTCTTTAAAGTGTGTGTTGTAATTTCATGAAGCTGGACTGTTGCTTAAAGTAAATAATATAGAAATTTTGAAGCAATGTTTCCTGCGTGGATTTTATTTTGTGGGTTTGGTTCTGCATTGTTCTCAGTTGTCCTGCCCTAATCTGAACAGGGCTGGGATGGAGCAGAAGAGGAGAGTGCATACACCTGACGGGGGGTACCATCACATGCTGTCTCCATGTTAAAAGTCAAACATCAATTTTCTCAAAGAAGCATGCAGTGTGGCTTGGTACATGTGATATGTTTTACCAGAATAGAGGAAAGGAAAGTTTCTCCTCAAAACCAAAAGTACTGTGGCAGCACTGCTAAGTCAGGGCCTGAACAGCCTGACAGAGGTGACCGAACGCCTGGTGGGAAGGCAGGGCCGGCCGGGAGCTCAGTGTGTGCGGCACAGCCGCTGCGTGTCTGCCAGCCTGCCAGCCTGCCTTCCCACTCCTGAAAAGCTCTGAAAATGCCCCAACTTCCCGGTGAGGCGTGGAGAACCCCCTCCTTCACATGCTGACTATCAAACTGGCTTTGCTCTAGTGGCCTTTCTTTGCACAGCAGGTAGGGAATGTGGTCTGGGTTCATGTAAACCATGCCTACCCGTTTCCTGGCCTAGGAGGGGGGAAGTAAGTAGCGAAGTTGTATTTCCTTTGCGAGCCCCATGAGCAGCAGACGTGGCTACATCTCCTTCACTTGCAAGGAGATGAGTTTAGGCACACCAGGCTGTCTGCTAAAAAGGTGCCCAGTGTGCACAGAGGAGCTGCTCGCTCACAGCAGAGCTGTCACACCCCAGTTGGCTTTTGTGTTTTTAAGCTCTCTCTGGTGTGTTTCAAGCTGCAGTGAAGGGGGAGGAAGCAAAACTCTGAAACTCACAGGCATGCAGCATTGTCTTTCAGGAAGCACTGTGCTAAAGGACCAAACTGATTTATGTTTTTAGGCAGCTAGCCACCCTGGCTTTTGAGTTACCTTTTGCATGATTGGCTGATAATGAAAGGAGAGCAAAGTGGCTTCAACTTCTGGCCCACATGCATTAGTAAGAGCAGGCAGAGGCTGGGCTGCAAGTGTTCTAGAGAAGTATTTACAAGCTTACAGATAACTGTTTACACAAAAGTTAATGCTTTACTAAGATAAGGCTTTTCTTGTGAACCTGAATGCCATAAACCCTTTTTCTACCTGCACGTTTCTCACCCGTGGTAATGAGAGAAATACAGCTTTCTACTTCCTGACTTAAAGGATAGCTATCACCTGTTCTATGGCATGACGATAAGATAGTATATTTAGTACCAAATATGTAATAGGATTGCAAAGTACCAGGCAGGGAAACACCTTTCTTCTGCAGGAAGGATGAAGTTTGGGTCATTTCAAAGTCATTTGAGTTGACAGTGGAAAGTTCACAGACTCACAGAATTGTAGGGGTTGGAAGGGACCTCCAGAGCTCATCGACTCCAACCCCCTGCCAAAGCAGTTCCCTACAGCAGGTCACACAGGTAGGCGTCCAGGCAGGTCTTGAACATCTCCAGAGCAGGAGACTCCACCACCTCCCTGGGCAGCCTGTTCCAGCGCTCCGTCACCTCACTGTAAAGAAGTTCTTGAGCACATTGGTGCAGAACTGCCTATGCTGCAGTTTCCAGCCGTTTCCCCTTGTCCTGTCTCCACTCACCACTGAAAAGAGTCTGGCCTCGCCATTCTGCCCCCTACACCTTAGATACTTCTAGATCTGGATCAGGTCCCCTCTCAGTCTCCTTTTCTCAAGGCTGAACAGACCCAGATCACTCAGCCTTTCCTCATAGGAGAGATGCTCCAGGCCCCTCACCATCTTTGGAGAGTCCAGCCGTCCACTGGACTCTTTCCAAGAGATCCCTGTCTGTTTTGTACTGGGGAGCCCAGAACTGGACGCAGTGCTCCAGATGAGGCCTCACCAGGGCAGAGTAGAGGGGGAGGATCACCTCCCTCGACCTGCTGGCCACGCTCTTTGCAATGCACCCCAGGATGCCATTGGCCCTCTTGGCCACAAGGGCACACTGCTGGCTCATGGCCGACCTGTCGTCCACCAGGACACCAGGTCCCTCTCCGCAGAGCTCCCCTCCAGCAGCTCATCCCCCAACCTGTATTGGTGCATGCAATTATTCCTCCCCAGATGCAAGACTCTACACTTGCTTCTGTTGAACCTCATCCGGTGTTTTTTTCTGCCCAGCTCTCCAGCCTGTCCAGGTCTTGCTGAATGGCAGCACGGCCTTCAGGCTGTCAGCCAATCCTCCCAACTTCGTATCATCAGCAAACTTGCTGAGGATGGCCACCACCCCCTCGTCAAGGTCATTGATGAAGATGTTGAACAAGACCGGACCCAGCACCGACCCCTGAGGAACACCGCTGGTTACAGGCCTCCAACCGGACTCTGCACCGCCAACGACGGCCCTCTGCGCTCTGCCAGTCAGCCAGTTCTCAACCCACCTCACTGTCCACTCATCTATCCCACACTTCCTCAGCTTTGTTACAAGGATGTCGTGGGGGACAGTATCAAATGCCTTGCTGGAATCAAGGCAGACTACATCCACTGCTCTCCCCCCATCTACCCAGCCAGAGACAACATCATAGAAGGCTACCAGGTTGTGGCAAAATCAGCAAAAAGCTGTGGAAGTGATAGAAGCTGAACAATGACCCAAGCAGAAAAAGTAACTGTTAGAAAGGGTTAGACTTGCAAGCTGGTGCTGAGCTGCACTCAGCAACCTGCTGTCCAACAGCCATGGCCTTTTTTATTTAAAAATATTTGCTTCCAGTTTCAGCTGCGTTCTTGGCTTGCTACAGTGCTCTACTGTCCTCTTCAATAGTAACTAAAATTCAATGCTAGTCTGATTTCCTTCTTTTATTGTTCTCATCACACTCCTGACCTACTGAGCCTTAGCGGGAGACCTGAGAAAACAGGGAGGTGCCCGTCTCAACAGGTTCAAGCTGCTCTGACAGCTTCAGTCCTTAGGGAGAGGAATCCCTACTGCTGTGTGTTTGCTTAAGTTCTTGGCCTCTTCCACCTGCAGAGGTGTGCAGTAATCCTCCAGGAAGACCGTTGCCAGATTGCTCAGCCTTCTGCTGGCTGAGAGAGAGAAGCGAAGCATGCACTCCACCACTGGGAGAGGTGTGGTCTGCTGGCATGACTGCGGTGTTGTCAGATACATCAGGGTTGTGACTGCTGACATGACTGTCTCTTCATTGGAGCTGGAGAGGCAATTTATTATGGGCTCTACTCCACTGGCCTCCAGGATATAGTCTTTGTTAGTTTTATCCAGGCACAGGTTGCAAAGACCACCTGAAATAGCGAAAAAAGCATCTATACATGCAAAACAAATTCTTTCTGCACCCTCATCCAGACACACTCCACACTCTCGAAGGCACCTTATTTGGGAATAAATGGTAACAGTCTGAGTGCTTTTCATATCTTTGTATGCACTTTGGTCCTAACCTGTGAGATGCTTGCCCTGAGTTGTCCTCAGATAGCTGCGTGATCCTTCCTTCTTTTCATAAGACAACACACAAAAATATTTTTCTTGAGTGGTAAGAGGAAAATCAGTCCTCAAGATACCAAGAACTATACGATAGATTTTTAATTGCCCTATGTAACCTTTTTTTTTTTTTTTTTCCAACTCAGTGCAGTAACGGCAATTATTTCCTTAAATGCAACTGCATAAATATCCCCTTTTTCTAAAGCGCCGATTGATATTTGGCAATTCCTGTTTTCTAGCACAAACACAAGCTTCCAGGTTTTGTGAGAACTGGAAAACTTCAAAGCTCTTCAAGAAATCTTCTCTTGATTCTTCCCCGAGATTTGCCAACAGGGCTCCTGCACGTCCTTAGAGGGCACTGCACGGCTGCACACGACGCGTGCTGCAGAACCAATCACCCGCGTCACAGCACCAAAGGGGCTGTAAGGCACCTTTTTTTTATTTTTTATTTTTCCCCAGTTTACTACAGACGTTTTAGAGAAACAGAAAACGGCATATGGATGCACTAAGAATGCTGTCCTTACCCATAGCAAATTCCACGAGGGTCTCGTTGTCTTCCGTCAGCATGTCGAGGAACAGGTCCAGCACCTGGAGCTGCCGCAGATACTCGTAGTTCCTGGGGTCGTAGGCGAAGTTGGCCAGGTTGGCCAGCACCTGCTGCTTGGCCTCTGCAAGGGAAAAGAGCGGCGTGAAACGAGGGGCGGCGGCACCTGGCGCCAGTACACAGAGATCTTTGCTGGATGGAAATTTCGCTTTTACACGCGGGGTTACCTGGGCTGTCTGTCACCTGGAACTCGGTGACGAGGGCCTGCAGATACTCCAGCCTCCCCAGCTCCATCCTGAGTTCTAAGAACTAGAACCTGGCGTTCAGCCGCGATCAGCCCGCGCCGCCGGCGGGAAAGACACCGACGCCGTCCGCCAACTCGCGGCCGCCATTTTGTGGGCGTTACTCTCAAGCGGCCGCCGGCGCCATTTTGTGGGTGTTGCGGCTCCTCCCGTCGGTCGGGCTGCGGCGTGGGAGGCCGGGACCGTTCCCGTGCGGGGTGGAGGGCGGCTGCCCGGGCGCCCTGCGCGTTGCTCGTTAGTGCCAGAGTGAACGCGCATCTCACTGTTCCAGTGTTTTCAGCAATCGCGTATTTTTAACGTTTCCTCTTTGTTCTGCAAAGATGCTCACCTGGTTGTTTGCACCCAGGCTCGGGCAGTTGCGCATCTGGGAGCTCCTCGTGCCCATGAACTCAGAAGCGCAGGCGCACAAGTGCTGCGGACAGCGGGGAAGGGCGGTACTGCCGGGTTTTGGTGGGGATTGGGACTCCCGGCTGGGGAAGAGCAATGCAAGGGGGATTTTTATGGAGTGGATAGGCAACAGTGAAGCCAAGAAAAGGAAGATATTAACAAAAGGCAGCAGATGTTTCCAGCCTGTTTACACAACGGGCTGATCTGAGGACAAAGCAGTGCCGTTGTTCTGAAGGGCAGCTCCCATGGAGCTGCTGCTTCTGAGCACCGCGAGCAGCGTCAGATGTGTTGGTGTGCAGGGAATGCAGTGAGATAGTAAGCTGAAGAATACAAGATGTAAGGGGTCCATAACATCTCTTAGTTTTGCTAACTCAAAAGGAATTTGCAAATAGCATCGCTTAGTTTAACCTCTTGCTAACTCAAGATGAATTTATTTCTTAGTTTAACCTTTTGCTGGGCCAAGCACATTCTCAAAAGGGAGCCTTCTCAAGTCAGTAGAAAGGTGCCCCCAAGAAAGCAGTGGAAAGGGAAGATAAGCAGGATAAGAAGTTGCTGAGGCATGCAAGGCGGGAGAAGAGCTCAGAACTGGGACAGAGGTTGGAAAGACATGGCATGGAAGACATCTGACTTCATCCCAGAGCAAACACCAGGTGGGGAGGAAGACACAGAGCCTTCATCCAATGGAAGCTACTGCTCATGCCCTGGGTGGAGGACAGTATGTAAATGAATTCCCGGAAAAGTAATGAGTATGTCTTGGGTAATACTGCTGAATATGTATGGTTTGGCTAATAAATGTATCGAGACCTCACTCTCTGGTGTGCAAGCTAGGAGGAGCGAGCCCCCTTGCAGCCGGCTTGTGGCACAGTGCTGAAATAAAGACATACCTGCTCTGATAACCTTACGTGGATTAGAGAGTTTGATTCCGCAAATCAACAGAAGCAGAGGTGCATAAACATCACACGTGGGTGGGCTTAGTAGAGATTGCCATTTCTTTTGTTGAAGCAATTGAATAGAATCATGGAACCGTAGAATCATTGAGGTTTGAAAAGGCTTCCAGCCAGCTCTTCACCCTTAGCAAAGTATGTACCTGTCAGATTCTTCTATAGATGAGGTTGGAAACAGTGCACTGATGTTACAGTGTCCTGCACTGACTGAAGGGCCCCTGATTTTCATTCAAAGGAAGCTGGACGTGGTCTCATCCACCAAATGCAGGGCCTCAAGGACAGGAACACTGGGCTGGTAGTAGCTCCTACCACGCAGTGAGCTGTTTGCTCATGTCCACCTTAAACAGAAGGGTGAGGAAAGAAGCTGCACTGAATGCAGCAGTGCTCTCAATGTTGCAGTACTGTGGGGAGACAGGGCAGGTTAAACTCAAGGTATTTATTTCTACATGGTATAAAAGTTCGGCCAAGCCTGTGCTAGCAACTTCAACTGTTAAAAAAATTACAGTGAGTGTGTGTATATATATATAAAAGTATGTGTATATGCATAAAAAGAAGTAACAAAGATTCTACAAATTACTTCAGTTTAAAATGTTGCCATATTAGCAGATTTAATGTAGGCCTTTGTAAATTTAAGTATTAGTGTACTTTAAGCCACATCTGTCATTACTAATATGTACGAGGGTGTGAGTGTAAGACAGGTAGAGAAGAGAAAGCAAATGCAGACCAAGCAAACCAGCAGGTGTTTGAGGATGGTGGGATTGACTAATAAGGGGTGAAAAACATTGCATTTGAAGAGGAAACATGCAATGATGAGTTCACAGGTACTGTATTTGTAGTCAAGTTTTGCAAGCACAAAACCAGTAGGAACTTTGTCTCCTGCAGTGATTTCACTGTGAGCAGTGTTTAGGAACAGCCCATGCCCATGGTGATTGGGTGATGCATCCCTGAAAACTGTACTCTGCAGGCCATGTATTCAGCATGTGGCAAGAGGCAGCCTGGAGGAGAGGAGCACTGGTACTCACCTTTCTGGGAGCTGCTTGGTCTGTTCCTTCTAGATTTTATCTTGTTTTGAGTTTAATCCAAGCTGGTTAAGAGATGGGAGGAACATTTTGCATTTAATTTAAGCTGTCTCATAGAGAAGAGTTTGGTAACATTCCCCAGGTTTATGGTCCGCAGAGATTTTTTGTAAGAGCTGGAGGCTGTGCTAATGCTGATTACATGACCTGTGCATGCATCTGACTGTTGTGTGCTGCATTACTGCAGGAAGTTTGTCCTGGTCGTACAGAAGGATCACTTGGCAGCAGGCAGTGTTGGCTGAAGCATGCAGCCCTCTTGCTCAGGCTGTTTGCTCAGGTGATATGGGCCGTATTTAATCATCTCACTGCTCTGTCCATGTTGCACAGACAAGTTAAGCATAGCTGTGGTATTTACAGCTTCAGGGGTAGCCTAATGACAGTGGTGCCAACTGATAGCTCAACAAAGTTAGAATTTGGTCAATTTCAGGTTCTGGTAGGTATGTTTCTTTTCTTGCAGTTACTAACCAGGTCTGCAAACTATGCCAGGCTCTTCATTTAAGTGATTTTGCAGTTCTGAGGTGTTTTAGAGTATGTGAGATGACAGTAACTTTTTTTTTTTTTCAAATCAAACTTTTCCAAGATTTACACTGGCAGACTATCTAAGTCTTATAGGGTTCACGGTCTTGCAATATTTCAAATGAACTTCCTGGTGAATGTTTCATAGCAGTAAGGAAAGGCGCTTGTTGCAAAATACGTTTCGCTTCGAAGTTAATGATACGGTTAATGACAGAGGGAGCAGGAAAGAGTATGAAGGGACTGGGTGAGGGTTATTTATCTCCTGCCATTTTTTCTTGTTCTGCTGACTCTGAGAGGTTTGTAACCTGGCTGAAGCATTAGTGTTTGTCCAGGGTTATTTTACTGTCTGTAGATGTTAAAAACAGCTCCTTCAAAGGGTGGTGGTAATTAAGCTGTGCTTGCTTTGTGTACTGGGACAACCATAAACCAATAGCAAGAACTTTTATTATTTTATTTTTCTTCTGGGCCTCAAGGTTCTTAAAGGCTGAGTATTGATGTACTGAGGGGCAATATTTATTATCCTGTAGCATGCTCAGTGTGCCCAGTGCTTTCAGTTACACATTGCAGAGCTGCTGCCCAAGGCAGCTGGGAGTTCAGGCTGGGAAGAGAGGTAGAGAGAGGAGGAGAGGCATCAAACAGAAAGGGAGGGAGCTAGTTTTCTCTATTATGGCAGTTCAGTCACATTATTTACCTGTGGAAACACAGCTTAAGTGTTATCTGTTCTCCATCTGAGATTTGTTTCTAACCTGTGCATTCTAAAGGTATGTGTAAGCAGCCAGGGGAGATAACCCTCTTTTCAGGCATCTTAAGTTGTGTAAGGCTGTTGGGAAGTTCTTAGTAAACAAGATGAAAAAAGTGAAAAGGATGGATTTGTATACTGTTTGTCTTCCCAGAAACCTCAGCTTCTGCATAAGACTCCAGTGACTCTAGCACTGAGTCTGAGAGTATCAAAGTATCAGCTCTATAAAGCACTCGTAACTCCATGTCCTAAGTTATATTACACTGCTGTGTACAGCTAGGAGATAATTAAAACTGAGAATTCTTTGCCGTAGCGTAGGAGGAGCTGACCTCTGTGTGTCAGCTCAGTTGGTGAGTTCCTGTTATTCCCCCTGTGCCTTGCAAATAGATACTTGTTTGTTTGCTTATGGGCAAGCTGGGGCTAAAGCATTGCAGGCAGTGCTGCGGCTGGTGCTGGACATTCCGTTACTCCCTCAGTTAAACTTTGTTTCCTGGGATAAATTCTGGTGGGCAGTACCTGGCCATATCTTGCCTGTTTTGTCTGGAACATTTGTAGCAGCGGAAGGATCTGGGACAACCTAATGCCCCATTTCTGGAAGGAAATGGAAAGGGAACGCAAAGGAGTGAACAGAATTTCAAATTTAAGAATTACGTAAAGGAAAAGTGTCAGTATGTTGAACTGCTTAGCTGTTTCATTTGTAATGACTAGAAGAGGTATGAGACTCAATCCCTCTGCATTGGTTTGTTTTGATGAAAGGAGGAAACCCCACCTTTTCCCTGGAAAAACAGCAAGTGGAAACTGTGGTTTTACTGCTAAGAATTTGATACAGTGGTTCTCAAGATTAAGTACTAAAATTGCTTTAGAAACTGCTTTCGCTTGCAGAGTTGAAAGCTATTACTTCTTCCAGTTCACTGACATATTGCAGTTCCATCTTTTGGATGTTCTAGAATGTTGAGCAATCTTCAGCTGCGGTACTTTGTGAGATATCTGCTCAGAGCACGTGGGATAGGAAATACAGTTCGCAGCTCAACAGAGGGAGTTCAGAGGCTGATGCAACTCTCGTGTTATTGCTGACAAATGTAACTCCTAGGAGTGTGTTGGGAAAAGCCTCTCATAGCCAAGAGACTGCATGGATGTGAGAGTTAACACCAATGTTTCCCACTGTATTTTTTCCCCTCAGATTTCTTTTTAAGTTATGGTTGAGCGAAATTGTCAATAATGAGATGATGTGAGTCTGAGACTAAAGAACTGAATTCATTTCCACAAGGGAGAACTCCAGTGGTGTTGAATTTGCCCTATATACGGCTGTTTACCTTCATTATATGTTGCTCTCCTGTGTTGTTTCGCACCCCCCCCCCCCCCCAAAAAAAAAAAATAGAATTGATCCCAGTTAATGCTGGAAAGAGATTTATTTGTAGAAGCCATTAATCTCTTTTTATGACAC